GCATTCCTCTCATTCTGAGATCTGGTGGGAACTCCCCTAGCTGGGGCAGGAGTTCCAGAACAGCTGGGCTAGTAGGGCCAGGAGATGCAGGGAGCCATTTATTTTTTTAAAGGAAACATTTATTTAAACCATCCACACACACACATGCACACACACACACACACACACCCCCCACAGAGTATATATTCACACACATGTACACAAAATACAGATTATGATAAAACAAAACACGCATGTGCCCACTTAGCTTAAGAAGATAGCTTTGAGGTATATGTGTACTTCTCCGTTTTTTGTTTCCCTTATTATTACCATGACTTATTGCTTCTGACCAGCTATTCTGTCACCAGTTTAACTGCAGAATAGAAGAGCCGCAACTTTTTCTCTTTTTTCTATCCCATCATTTATATTTGTTCATTTAACATTGCCCTTTTGAAATTTTCTAATCCTGTTTACTATAGAAGAAATAGGAGAAGGTAAAGGACAGAAAATAAATACAGGGAATCTATAAAGAGGCATGGACACACACACACACACACAGGCCGCCTCTTAGGTTCATTAGAAAATAAACAGAGATGACCGATGACCTCTTCGGCTCCTCCTTGTATAGTCACGTCATCTGCATCTTCTTCCTTAGTCTAGCATAAAGCAACTTATAAAGCATTTAAGAAAGTTAAGAATACCCTAGAAGTTTTTAGGTTTTATTTTATTTAGAATCTTACAACCCCATCTTATTCTTTTAAATTTAGTTGTGTTTTCGTTATTTTTATTTTTACTTTTACAAATTATTATTACCAAAGTGTTTAATGAAGACCAAAAGGGAATTGCCTGAAAAGGTACAGAAGCCATCTTAATAATGTAACCAAGCCTGCCATCTAGTGGGCACTATTTTGTAATGCAGTCAAGATGCATCAGCTTCAATTGTGTAAAGCTAATAAATAGAGCATTTCAAGCCTCTAAATATAAACAGAATGGCTTATTTTCATCAAGAAAATTAAGAAATTTATTAGTTTGCACAAAATTGTTCCAACATGACCTTGTGAATTAGGCCCAAGATATGAAGAACAAAAAGACCTCTGACTTCAGATTATGGCTTCTTATTAATCATAAGATCTGTTACGTATTCCCTCAATCCCTCAAATCTAACACAAATAACCAAACTATGGGCTACATCTAGACTGCTACTCAGAATAACAATTCTTAACAGTCAACATTTAATAACCTTTTTTTTTGTCATGTCAATCATTGGAAGTTGTGGGGGTAGCAATAGGCAACAAGAGCATAATTTGAATTCTGAATAAAAACATTCTCAAGTGTACAAAGGTTTTCTACTTACCATTGGCTTTGGAAGTGAAAGGTAGCCATACTTCTCTCCTACAAATAACATATATAACTTAAAACAAATTTTCTACTATTCACATTTAATTTTTAAAATATTATTAAATAAACAGAAATGTTAGCACATTAGTTTTGATAATTTAGTCTATTAATTACATGTGACTGAGAAATAAAATTGTAATTTTGTTGGTGAACATGAAAAAAAAATATTCAGTACAGACTTTGATGTACAGAATTGTTTTTGAAGCACTGTTTTCACAGGGGTATTATAAGTTTAATACTCCCTAAATCCTTTGTTTGATACTCCCTAAATCAACATGACACTTGTGCCATCTTTACCTCTGAGTTTACACCTCCAGATAAATTAAGTCCAGAATTAAGTTCAAAGGCCCTCTCAGCTTATGAGGATAGCAAAATAATCTCATGACAACCTAACTGCTGTCCATTCTCAATATCCAGAGCTTTTCTGCATCTCTACAAAATAAAGCTAATCCCCCAAGGACAGGAAAGCCTCATTATTTCACTGAAGATGTGCAATATTATGCCTCATTAGAAGTTCTTATAATTAGCTTTTTTGGTTCTGAAAGGGGCTTTATATGGCATGATCCATCAGAAAAAAATTCATGCCCCCAGACCCACTTAAAATGAATCCCTAACCACTAAAGGCTAGGCAGATTGTTAACTAACCTCAGGAGTAGGACCGGTTTATTTTAGAATTTGGATTAGACCAAACCCAGTTGTTATCCTCACACTCTCCCTTACCTCTACATTCAATTAATCATCAAATCATACTAATATTACTTATAAAATTCTTAAATCAGTCCTCTTATCTTCATTTCCACTATCATGGCCCCATCATCTCTTGTCTGGATGGATCACTCCCTTGTTCCCGACTCATACATCCCCCAAGTAAGCTCATATTTATCCACAAGCATGTTCCTCTTCCTGTTCGCCCCATTTCAGTGAACAGCACCTCATGCGTCCAGTCTGCCAAGCAATAAAATAGGTGCAGAGCTATGGAACCTGGTACATCCCTATAAACTGAAGCTCAGTCAGATTAACTTCAAGATGGTTCAAATATAACAAAGGAAATTCAGCTTCCTTAAATAAGGGATAGAATCTGCAGGCTATGAGAGAAACCTTCTTTTTGACGTTTATTTGTCTAAGATAATCTCAAATTCTAAATGTTGATACATACTTATCACTAAGGAAAGGTGGAGTCTTTTTGATCTAGGTCCCTTCTAATACAAAGGCCCTGAAGGCAGAACTGGATGAAGGCAGAAAGGGAGGAAGACAAATATTGATTTTTGAGTTCTTTGAACAATCCCAGGAGGCCCTATTATGAAATCTAAGGGTCTCCGGGTAAGGAGACAATAACCTAGCTCTCAGACGGACTTCAAATACGCGAACACTAAAGGCTCTTTTTCATTGCTTAGCATGTTGTTTGCTACTTAATAGTTTGGCTAACTGATACTTGCAAACGTATCTAAGTTTCCTAGTCAGGAGAGTCAAGATATGCAGAGCAGAACTAAAGTGGCTAAAATAGAGCAAAGGTTTTCCAGTAATAGTTATGATATGAGTTATACCAGTAGCAAAGAGAAACCAGAATCTGAAGAATACACTCTGTCCTTTGCAGTGGGCAGGCGCGAGGAAACAGGCGGCCTCGTCCTAATAACCATACAGAACAGGAAGAGCAGCACTGTGCCACTGCACTCAGTTCAGTCAACGGTGGCTGCCTCAGAGTTGGGCTTCTTGGCGGAAAAGCTATTCTTATGAGCTTCATGATAACAGTCAGGAAAAAAAAAAGGCAATAAAAGAAATTAAGCAACTCTATCTCAATTAACCCCACTTAAGTAAGGATGCCTCTGAACAGCAAGATACTACCAGTTAAACAATGGGTGTCTCATTGATCAAAGGCAGCTGTGTCCCACCTAAAGAGGAACTTCTGTTCAGCACTTAGGAAGTTAAGATAACCCTGATTTGGGGGGGACAGGTCACTCAAACCTAAATAAGAGATCATTTACATAATATCCAGTTTGAAAGTAAAAGAAACCACAGTGACCGCATAGGCCAAAAATAAGTATAGGATTTTCCTGTTTCAACTCTGGTCTATCTGTAGGGGATGCCAGTCTAGCACTCAGAAAGACCAGGAAGCTTCTCTTCATTTCTTAAACAAGTCTTATGGCAAAGTGATCATTCTTCTTTAAATATGGATCAATTATATCAATTTACCTTTTAATATATAAAACTTGCCTCACATAAAAGCCCATGCAGTGGGGCTTCCCTGGTGGTGCAGTGGTTAAGAATCCACCTGCCAATGCAGGGGAGATGGGTTTGATCCCTGGTCCGGGAAGATCCCACATGCCGCGGAGCAACTAATCCTGTGCGCCACAACTACTGAGCCGGCACTCTAAAGCCCACGAGCCACAACCACTGAGCCTGTGCCACAACTACTGAAGTGTGCGCACCTAGAGCCCGTGCTCTGCAACAAGAGAAGCCACGGCAATGAGAAGCCCATGCACCGCAATGAAGAACGGCCCCCACTTGCCGCAACTAGAGAAAACCCGCGCACAGCAACGAAGACCCAACACAGCCAAAAGTAAATAAATAAATTTATAAAAAAAAAAAAAAACCATGCAGCTGTAAGTACTTTATCAAAGCATCAAAATATGCCATTCAGACCAGCTATCACAGAAATCTTTAAATGCAGAAGCACGGTAAGCATTTATTACACGTTACAAATTATGTAATATCTACAAAGTCTACCATTCCCTGATTTTTAAGCAAATCAGCAATTACCCTAAATGGGTATTTTTTAAAAAATGAAATGTTTAGATGTTCATAATCAGTAAAAATAAATATGTAATTTGATGTTATTATGACTTTAAATGACATTTTAATGTAAAAAACAAGCATGCTTGACACTAACAGAAGCCATTAGAAAGGAAATACATAAAAACACATAAACATAGATAACTGGATACACAGTACAATGGGAAATAAACAAAACTCCAAGTTGATGTTAAAATAAAGAGTAAAAATTATGCCTTCTGTACACTGTATGGTGCTATTCTACATGTTGTAGAAATACTAATGAACTTACCCACCAAAGGAAATATTCCAAGATTACGTAGTCATCAAGGAAAGAGATTCCATCCAAGTGGAAGGAAAGCAATTCGAAAATCAAATAACTACATTCATTTCATTATGAAGTTAGTAGAATTACATCAGAGAATTATTGTATTACAGAAGAGCATTTGTACTAAAACTAAAAAACAATTTATAAGAAATATAAAAATGACAATTTCAATGAGAAAACTAGATTGTTAATATTAATTCAAAGGAATCTACTATACTGTTGTACAACAAATTTTACTGCTTTGATACTAAAATGAAGGACAAATAATATTTTTATAATTTTTGTGGAAGATACTTTATTATAAAAATAACCCAGTTGGGTTATAACAAGTTATTCATTTTGCATCTGAGGTTTGACATTAAAAAACTAATAGCTACATTAAAATACTAACATATTTCAATATATGGACAGTTTCTCACCTCGTCTTCCTTCAAACACATCATTGATTTCTCTCAGCAGTGTTAACATGTCACTAATTTGGGATTCCCAGGCTTCACAGAATACATCTAGATTTTCTTTAGCAATTTTGCTAGATGGATGCAATGTCAAAGTTTCAGCAGCAGAAATTATCTAAAGAAACAATATACACAGGTGTGAGTTTCAAAATCTTACCTCTCAGAATCATACTGGAAACCAAACTTAAGCCTGTACTGTTCAAATCACTCAATGACACAACTACAAAGCAACTTCCACACATAAGCCCCATGTTGGGCAGTATGGACATACAAAACTTACTGTTTCTTATAATCTTATCTATAGATAAATAGTAGGCATTATTATATATAAGCCTTTATTCAGGGAGCAATTATCTTTATTCAAGGAAAGTTCTGTTTCAACAAAGTTATTTCCATAGCATAATTCAGAGTTATACTCCGACTACAAAGAGTGTACTGTATACTGCAGAAGAGATGGTGTAGTAGTGGTAGTATTAGTAACAGTGGTAGTAATGGTGGCAGTAGTGGTGGTAGCAGTAGTCGTAGTGATGATAGTAGTAGTGATGGTAGTAGCAGTACTGGTATTAGTACTGGTACTGGTAGTAGTAGTGGTAGTAGTTGTAGAGGTAGCAGAATCGGTATTAGTACTGGTAGTGGTAGTAGTAGTATCATACGCATACACCTATGAGGACATGGTAGATATATCCTTGAGGTACTGTGATACGTGCTTGATATACATTAGTATTAATCCTCAAAAACACAAACAAAATACTATCCTTCTCAATAAGCAGTGTTCCCATTTTACAGCTGGAGAAACTGAGACTCAAAGGTACCAAGTAACTAATATATGACTCTTCATTCACCTGTTGTATGCCCGGCACTGTACCCATGTTCCAGGTGCTGGGGAAACAGTTGTTTCATTCAAAACAAATAAAAGTTCCTCTCTTCATGGGGCTCATATTATAATGTGGGGAGACAGGTAATTAAAAACATGTAAGTAAATTATGAAATATCTTAGATGATGAACAATATGTATAAAAACAAAGGGTAAAGGAGGATGGAATGTGTTAGGCAATCACAGTATTTTAAGTTAGGTGGTCACTGGCAAAGGTGGCATGTAAGCAAAGAACTGAAGAAGGTGAGGGAGTCACAGGGAAACCTAGGGAAAGTCGTTTGGGAATAAGGTGGGAACATTTCTGATACACTGTAACAACAGCCAGTAGTTCAGTGTGACTGGACTGACATCAAAAAGAAAGGAAGGTCACCAATGGCCATGTGATGGAGAAACACGCACAGTAAAGATGGACTTTACTCTGAGTAAGATAGGAAGTCACTGAAGAGGTTTCAGAAACTGGTATGTAATGGAAAAGAATATGAGAAAGAAAAATTTTAAAAAAATATATATATATATATAAAAACGGAATCACTTTGCTGTACACTAGAAAACTAACACAACATTGTAAATCAACTATACTTCAATTTAAAAATAAAGAAAAGAAACTGCTATGGTCAGAGTCAGGCTGCCTTCGAGAGAATTAGACCTAGGCGCTCCTCCTGGGTGAGCATAGTCCCACAGGCACAGGCTTGACAAGCAGGTGGCAGCTTTCAGAGTAGAACAAGGTTCCCCATCTTCAGGGAAGGTGGGCACATGGCTCGCCATGGACTACAAGCTAGATGCAGCAGTGCTGCCTTCTCAACCAGGAGCCACTGTACAGTGTGGAAACTGTTCCACTGTGCCCTGGATATGCTGTAACATTGTAAAGGAAATATAAAAATGACATTGCTAAAGCAGAGGTATCCAGAAGTACTATAAATTTTCCTAGAGGCATGCTCTGTTTTCTAAATTATCCCTTTGTGAGACAGATACCCAAGACTAGGAATAAAAGCTGAGGCTATGGGAATAGAAAAAGCTTCTCAAGTTACAGAAATTGACAGCAGGCTCTATCTATCACCATCCTGGAAAAGAAAATATACTTTTCCTAATATCCCTGCTGCAATGAAAACAGTAAGCAGAGAATTACAACCAAATAGCAAGTAGGGCCTGAGGATATAGCAAGCAGGGCCTGAGGATAACAAGAGCTGACTGTATATGGCAGGAGAGTCAAACTTTAGCTCTGCTGAAATACATTTATGGCCAAGGCAAGTAGTATGACTCCCAAATGGACAAGTAAATATTGAAGCCTTGGTTTCTCCCAATAAACAGAGATCCTCTGGTTATAATAAAATGCTCAGCCGATGGTCACTGCTGAGGGTCACTCAGATAGTTCCTGTTTCCGTGAGAAGCTTTTGATACTGTTCTCCACGGGGAGCATAAACATCCTTCCAGCATCCAACTTGGGTCTGCTAGAGGGCACACACCACCTTTGTCTCTAAGTTGCTTTTGCTGTTCTCAACTATAAATCCAGGAGCTCGACATCTACCATCCAATAATGCAATAAGGAGTAAGTCCTTTTGGCTGCCATGATGAATGAAACAAATACACCTGGTAAATTGTATTTCAGAGCTTAGACCTAAAAGGGAAAGGAACTTCTGTCTCTCCCTTTTTCCCTTAATTTGACAGACAGTATTAAATACGATATCAACTGTTAAAATGCTTTTGAAAATTATAAAAACGAAGTAATATTATAAAGAATTCAGAAAAAATAAATCACAATTCTCCCTAACAAGAAGAACTTTCATTTCTGCACATTCTTATAGTTATTTTCTTATATATGTACATTTTATATAGTAGCAATTATAGCATATAAACAAATCTGTATCCTGCTTTTGTCACCTAACATTTTAATGAAACAGTTTTTGATGTTGCTAATTCTAGTTATCAAAATTATTACTATAACATCATAATATATTATTTGCCTAACTTAAGATTGTTACTTTGCTTCCAGTTGAATCTTATTATAAGTAATGTAACAAGTATTGTTTTTATTTTTCTTTTAATCTCCTTATGCCCTTAGGAATTATTGGGTCAAAACGTGAGTATTTTTACGGCTTATCACATAATGATAACTTAGTTTTCAAACATGTTATAACGACCTGTATTGTAAATGGCTTCAATTAAATAGATATAAACTAGGGCATCAATTAAATGGGCCAATCTCTAATTTGGCAGATGACCAGATAATCCAATGGAATGTTCTGGCACACTACCAACAAAAATTCCATTACCTTCATTTCACTCAGTAGATTTGGCCCGTAGTTATGCAGAACCATTTGTGTCTTCCTTGTGCACAATTTGTTATGACACTCAGATAAAACATAATATGGAAGGAACGATCTGCTGTTGATCATACCTGCTGGCCAGTCACCTGAAATGTCTCCTCTGCATGTATACAGGTTATTTCAAGAGGTTCTGTCCCAGACACATGTCTCAACAATCGACAGGTCTACAAAAAACCATTTCTACAGTTCAACTTTCTCATTCTTCACAATACATAGCATCATTTTATAATTAACAAAGAAAATAAAACATTAAAACCTATAAAAATAAATTTGTACATTAATAAGATTATTATAATATTGCATTGGTTACCAACAGATTCTCTAGGAGCAAAGCAGGAATAAATACGGGTTTATTAGCATATACCCTACTGTTTCTACTTCCTATCTGATCATGGCAAGGTGGTCACAGAATATTAGAATCAAGAGGAATCCTGAAAGGACCTTGTAGTGCCCACATATTTTACGTATGAAGAAACGTGGCTCGGAGAAGCACTTATCCAAGGTCTCTCAGCTAAACTATGTCAGTTACCACAAGCTACACATTCTTTCTGCCAACAAACAACACTTCTCCCTGTCAATTAACACACCTTTTACTGGAGATAACACTGGATTAGGCAAGACTGATATAATGATTAAAGAGCCTGTATCAATGAAAATTTTTGAAAATAATTTTTCAATAATTTCTTGAGGCTTAAAACAGAAAATTAGGGAAAAAACTTTTTTTCACTTCTTAAAAAGATTTGCTGCAGGATTCCTATAATTAGCAAGTTTGCCTGCAGTCATAATACTTGATTTATAAACAAAACAGCATCAGATCTATTTTAAAAAGGAGATGTATATACAGTCATTTTAAGAATGCTCCCTAGTAGTTTTCAGATGTAAACAAATAAAGGAGAGGAAGCTAGCTTAGTCTAAAAGTTCCTTCTAACCATTAGTATGTGAGATTCAGTGAGCAGGGGACATTAGATAATATGAACACAGCTAGATGGTTCATATCTGTGCATTAATATACATGTTGGCTGGGACGTACCTCATATATACAAGGGGATATATTCTTCACATGCACATGGGTTAAGTATACATTTCTCTACTAGCAGATGTCCGACATTCTCAACAGGTAGAAGGCTTACAACATCAATCAATAATTGGAATTATAACAAAAGGGGCAGGTAAAGCATCAGTAACACATAACAAAGATTTGGGCAGAACAGGAGAGATTCCGAGAAGGAATACTGTGCTGAATGTCTTCTCTTTGTCCCTCCATATCCACTCTTTTTCCTTCTTGGGAGACTGACCTATGTGGTCTACAGCCGTGTTTGGCCAATGGGAAGCCCCAGCAATACAGCAGCAGGGATTTGGAGGGT